ATAATACAAAATCTTCAAAACGTGTCGGTCTCCTCCGCACCCGTGACGTCACTGGGACAAGACCCTTCCATTGAGGCCTCTACCAGCAGGGTAGTGACCGAGGCTGTGGTCCCTTGACCTTCGTGTACGTCTGGCTCGCCAATGGGATTAGCCACCGTCCAGCTAAACCCCGGTGGATCCGGCATCTTCCATAGTCGCTCAAAGTGAACGACCTTGTGCGCCCCAAACTTTCTTCCTTATTACGCGACACGTCATGTGCGGTAGCCGGTCAGCCAAAGAATATGCCCCAACCCAGCTTGATGAGAGTTTCGAGCATTGGCCTGTTATTCTCGCGGGATGTACAGCCACACTTTGTCACCCGGGCTCACGAGTGCTTGGGAGGGCTTTCCATCACACCTAAGCTTCATTGCCTCGGAAGCAATCCTGAGGTCGTTCCGCACATGGTGGTACACCTCGATAAGGCAACACTTTAGGGACCGTCCCAGCCAGTATGTCTAATTATGACTCATAAGAGTTCGTGATGGGCAGTCATATGGGGCCCATTACTGCTGCCCACTTCGGTCCCGTTTGAGCGTGTGATGGGCATCCAACTGCATATTCCGGCACCGTTTTGCTTTGATTATCTTCTGGGGGCATATCACTCGCCAGGTCCATCCGCAGGCGCAGTCCCCGGCCGGTCATAAGTTTTCCCAGGCGTGTGTCCCGTGGATTCATGCTCAGCTGACCTGTTTGACAAGTCCGGCATGGGAAGTTTTTCGTCCCAGAGATCGTGGTCACCTCCGCAGAACTTGACTGCTGCCCCAGTGTCCAGTTAAGCCATCCACTACCATCCCGTCGGACCATGGGTGCATTGGTGTTGTCCTAGTTTTCCGGATACGTAACAGGCTACAGTACTCCTGAAACACCGCACTTGCAAAGTTTCTTTCTTGGTCTGAGCGAAGCTGACTCGGCATGCCAAACCGCGCAAAAAATCCATTTACCAGTGCTTTAGCGGCTGTATTTGCTTCTTGGTTTAGAGCTGCATAGGCCCCAGCCATGAAGTGAAATAGTCCATGGCGTAAGGATGCACCTGTTCCGGACGACGTCATAGGTAAGGATAGGCCATTGGCCTGTGATGTCGATGGCCACCCTTTCCATGAGTGAGTCGACTCTGTATGTCTGCAGTGGTGCACATTGCGGCTTCTTGGGCTCCTTCCTTGCACAGCAGGCGTCACAGGCCCTGCACCACTCCGCCACGTCTTGCCGCATGCCGGCCCAGTAGAATCTCTGCTTGAGCTGTTTCAGCGTTTTCTTCGCGCCAAAATGTCCGCTTGTGATGGTATCATGCTTTTGTTTCAGTACCGAGTGCCGAGGATTCCGAGGTACAATGGTCAACCAGCGCGGACCAGGTCAGTCGACTGATTCCCATCGTCGCTGGAGGATTCCGCGACGCGAGGCGCGATAAGTGGCGTAAGCAGCGGGCACGTCGTCCATCATAGCGCACATGAACGCCGCGTTGTACTCTCCGGTATAACAAAATAAATTTGCTGGTTGCTGGTAATTGCAGACCTTTCATTACTCCTAGAGAAATAGTACAAAGTGAGTGAAAATACCGAAAGTGAGGGAAATAGCAGGTGACACCAGGTAGCATAAATCAAAGCAATATCATGGATTTTTCAGAAAAATGCAGAAAACAAATTCGTCACTTCACTGCGGCCGCGTGCGATCTATAGTCAGCACGTTTGTCAAGTGGAATGCGTGACGTTATGCGTGGTGACGGAGCATTCGATGTGTGGGATGAGCGGATTTTTTTCCATTTTGCTTTTCCTTCTTCCTTCACATTTTACTCCAGCCCACTCATTAGTTCTGGCTTACCGTCAACCATGATACACTACCTATCAAATGGTGTTTGAAAGTGGGGCTTCTGTTCCGGTATTACCATCATCTATCCCATCCGGATGTTGAAGACAGCCACACACCACACCAATCACACTCACCTTTTGATGGATACTCTTGGGACTTTTATTCCCTCCTTATCCATCTTCCGTCGCATTTCCCCCAAAATTAGAGACAGGTGCCGCCACCTCACCTCGCTTACTCGCTGCCGCAAGGACGTAACAAAGAAATCTCCAGCCTTTTAGTCGAAATGATTTTTAATTTCGTAGGGCTTTCTCCCCATGCTGCCCGCGTTTGATCTGTCGTCAGCACGTTTGTCAGCATCAATCACGGGCTAGTATTCGTCGCCCTACCTCACGACAAGAGAGCGCAGTCACTTGGCTTGTGACGTCACGCACCGGCTAACGGATGATGCGATGATGCCAGGGTATTTGTCAGCCCGTCAGCATGGGGAGAAAGTGCTACTAGAGTAAAAAATCAACCCGACAAGGAAGCGAAAGCCTGATTTGGTAGGTTTTGCGTTGGCGAGCACGTTAGGTGGGATGGCGGGCACTTGTCTAATTTTGGTAGAAATGCGACGTAAGATAGATAGGGAGGGAATTGGAATGTCAGGAGCAGCCATGAGTGGCAGTGATTGGTGTGGTGCGTGGTTGCATTCCTCAGTAAATTAATGACGCTATAAGTAAACGCTGACAATGAGAGGGAGGAAAATGAAATGAACTGGAATTGAGAAGAAGCACTCAACATACGGATAGGATAGATGATGGTTATACCGGAACAGAAGCCACACTTCCAAACACCACCTAATACGTAACGTGAAATAGTCGGCAGTATGCCAGAGTTAGTGTGTGGTCTGTAGTATAAGGTAAAGGAAGAAGGGAAGGCACAGTTAAAAAACTGTCCCGTCAGCCCACACATCGAACGCTTCGTCGGCACGTATGACGTCACGCATGCCCGCTGACAAACGTCCTGACGACAAATTGAAGGCGGCCAGGCTGACAAAAAACCCTGACATTATCTGTTGCATTATCGTCAGCCGGCACGTGACGTCACAACACACTTGACTCTGTGGTGACGTGACGTGAGGTAGAGCGAATACTGAGTTGTGATTGGTGGTGATAAACGTGCTGACAACAGATCGAGCACGGTCTGGATACTTCGGTAATGGCGCGGAAGAGGCGTTGACGCACCAGGCACAAGAAATGTGCAAACTGGTGTAAACATGCGGCATTTTGTGGGCATGCCAGGGTTGTAGCGTAGTGGATGTAGACCCGTCAATCGATGAGAAGGTTGGTAGTCATCCCTCATTTTGTGCACTTATGTGAGGCACACGATTTTGTATGATGGCATCCTTTGCTGCACTGGGATTGTACTGTGGCCGTCCACGTGGAAATCTTCAGGCCAGGCTGTAACAAAGCATGTTACGCCATGTTTATGTTAAAGGTTACCTCAGAAAAATCTTAGTTCCTGTATAAGTTGAGTATGTATGCATTGGGATTGATGGCAGAAGTGTGGCAACGTGGGCTTTAGATTGGCGCGGTGTGTGCCTAAACTGAAATTGTTGTTGGAATATTGTTAGCCAGTTATGTTTGGCATAAACATACTTCCCAGTCTGGGCTGATGGTATTCATCTGCATATAAATTTGATTATCATCATTGACTAGAATTGGCTGACCATGATGCCAGCCAGACCTGGAACTTAAAATCAGTAAAATTAATAAACTTGCCACTGTTTGTAATTTGTGTAATTTCAATGGCAGTATTGAGAAAGCAATTAGATTATTTGCAAGCCTTTGATCATGACAAGATTGTATGCCCATGGAGTCAGTGTCATAACCAGGTCATTGCCTGTCCGAAGAGAGCTTAAGTGGAGAATATGGAGCTATGTAAGTCATGGGATCCTTCCTTGTGGTTATACTGCTCCTGTTTGGTATTCAACATACTCTTTTGGCTCAGGATTTTATGTTCAAGACTTACAGGCTGTGTGTGCTGTTTCTTAAGCCCTACAGGCATCAGGAACAGCCAACATGTGTTTTGGAGGCCCTGTGTCCAGGCAGCCCCTGCCATCTCACAGTGTGTGTGGTCCAAAGTCTTCCTCCCCTGTCTGTACCACCTTGCTTGGTTTTGCTGCCTATTCAGTATTTGACTAAGGTCATGGTATCTTAAGTTTGAGGTCAGCATTGAAAAAAGATGGCATTGACAGTATTTTGCCAATTGCTAGAATTACTTCATGTCAGACATTTATTGCTTTATTGATTGTAGCTGTCACATTTGTGTATATGATGTTGGATTCACCCCATTAAGTGCTGCTCATGTCTGACACCATTTTTTTAAACCTCAAAGGGGCAAATGCATGGCTCACACACAACAATAATGCATGCATGGCAGCCTGCATATGTCAGGCACAATTTTCCCAGGATAGGTGACAGTTTTCTCCCCTGTCAATATTCATCCTTTGATGCTGAGACACATGGTGGCTGAGGTCTAAACCTGCTTAAATAGAAAGTTTTTGATTTCTTTGTGCATTACAAATTGCATTACCTTCTCTTCTGATCAAATGTGGAGATGAAATGTTGGTGATGATGCAATGTGCCAGAAATAGGATGCTTGATCAAATATCTTTGATGGAAGTGTCTTCAAAATACTACAGTATAGCTTGATTACACTATGTTTCTTGTTCCCAAAATTTGATGGGGGCATGGTGTGTGGTTGCAATGGCAGTCTGTCAGCAGCTTGACTGGCCAGGCCATGCATTCAGCCATGCTGCTGGAGCTACAACAATTATAGTTAGCATATTGACATTTAGACTTTCTCAAACTCTGGTGTTGTTTATGATAATGTTAGCATTATCAAACATGATTAATCTCTCTATATGAATTACAACTAACAGTATTATTACCCAGGTCATTCAGCTGATAGCATGGGAACATGTGTAGGATTAACACACACAAGTGACTGCTCTTCTATTTGGTTATTTGATGTTTTATTGACCTACTGATGTATTAACAATGCCTCCTTTGCAGTTATTGTAGAGCTGTGACAGGGTATGCTTGCTGTCTACCAGATATCTGGCTTTTATCAGATATCTGGCTTTTATCGCACAATGGCCAGCAAAACCCTTGCTTGGGCTGGAGCTTCCCGAGGTAGTTTCCAGGCTAGAAGTTTTTGCTCCAACTCGGCTGGCTGAGTCATGGGACAACGTTGGACTTCTGATTGAGCCATCGCCCCCCAAAATGGTTCAGGTAATGTATTACAGCAAGTTTCCTTTGCCTATTTTGCCTTCTTACCATCTAATGATATTTATGTTTTGTTGGTCTTCCATTATTCATTTTGTGCTGTGACTGGGAGCACATTGATAGTCATGTACACTAGGGCATCTCAGAGTAACAAGTTTGGGGAAAGGATGGTTGCTCTGGGCTAGTCTGGTCCTCCAATCTGAGGTAAATACTTCTTGTCAAAAGTCATGCATATTCGTGGGGTGCGGAATGGGCTTAAAGGTGTCTGGTTTTAAGTCATTTTTGCTCTGAGAGGAGCAGTGAGACATTAGCAAAATAAGATATTTACATCGATTTGAACGTTTGAAACAGAGCCCTTGGCGATTGTATACCATAGCCCACACAATTTGACCATAATATCTAGCTAGTGTGTCACATGATTAAGCGGGAATAAGACTCCAGGGAAGGAGAGACAGCAATGCTTAAATGTGAAAACATTTTAAACAGAGTCAAGATAGGTGTTTAACGAGTCTTTCTTGCATTATTAACTCAATGGGGTGTGTAATTGTGATGTGAGATCGGTTGAGCTCATTTTGACCTGATATAACCTCACCTTTACATTTTCATTCTCTGTTTTACCTCGACTAAGAGAAAACAGAACGTCGAATCATGTAAGATCAAAATTTTTTTGTGAAAGCGATGCTGACATTCCATCATTACCGCATCAGAAAATTGTCATGAACACATCTTGTATTGTACGTCACTACACGTTGAAAGGTGTCCAGTGTGTCCGCTTTGGAACAGCTGTTCTGTCGTCAGTGGGCTTTCACCTCATGCAGAAGTCCCTGCAGCTGATTGCCGCCGGCTGCTGCACGTTAGCGAACATTTAAATCATTGACACCATCTCTTGGCAGAACCATTTGAAACGGTAGCACACCGCTCCAGATCACGAACGGACAATGGATGGGCTACTCATTCATCGGCTGGCCTGCTTAGCCACCGGCTAGCTTCGATTTGAACGAGTTGGTACACCAGCCAATGGGACCCATTTACCAGATCTGTTAGATCTGTGTCTCGTTTGGCCAACGGTGCAGCATTTCTAAAATCATTCGCCACAGGCGAAGGCAGCAGTGCCGAAGCCATGGCTGCCCAGTCATTATCGTTAACGTCACCCGAAACCAGACGGAAGGCGGCCGTCTCGGGACTCAAGGTCAAGTGGCCGTGCACACGACGGCCAGAGCTGCTCCAGCCACAGCTCGTTAACCGTCCGGTGTTGCGGCAGGTTCTGGTGCAGCCTCAGGCGGCCGTCTCAGGACTCAAGGTCAAGTGGCCGTGCACACGACGGCCAGAGCTGCTCCAGCCACAGCTCGTTAACCGTCCGGTGCTGCGGCAGGTGCTGGTGCAGCCTCAGGTCTTTAGCAGGGGCGTCAGCGGACAGTGTACCCGTGTGTCAGGCTGCGTCGGCGTCCGCTGACGGCCCTGGAAAGGACCCGAAGCCACGCCAGGACCTGCTGCACTACCGGACGGTTGGCAAGCCCGGGGCTGCTGCATCGTTGGCAGCGATGCATCTCCTTTTGGCCTATTTGAAGCCCGAGATGGTCGTGCTCCGTCTGGTTCCGGGTGACTCGGCGATAATGGAAAAACAGCCGTAGGTTTGACACTGTCGTTTATGCCGGTGGCGATGATTTGGAGATGTTGCGCCATTCATCGGCTTGCAGGTATATTTGTTAGGTCTGATAGATGCGCCCTTTTGGCTGATATGCCAGCTTATTGGGGTCAGAGCTGGCCAGTGGCCGAACAAGGCTTTTGAAGAGTGGTGTGCCAAAAACGTCTATCCATTTTATCTTCATTTTTCAGAGGTGTACACAACTTACACATAATACCGCAGAGAGAGGTGTGTCAATGATTGATTTTTTGTAGCCAGTCTAGCCGTTAACAAGGCTCAGAAGGTGGAAGACCCCCGGCAGATGAGCGTCTTGATACGTGCATGAGGTACACTACGCTGTTGAATCAGGTACAATATAAGATTTGTTCACAACAATCTATTACGCAGTATTGGTGTGACGCCAAGGTTTGCTCGGTAGGTACCGCCATTTTTGTTTGACATCGCTTGACGCTTTCGTCTCTGAGAGGGCGAGCAGAGGACAGAAATGTCAAAGTGAGGTCAGAAGTCAGGCAAGCGTTCGAGTCGACGTTTTGATCCATGTTTATAAAACCTTAGTGCCCCCCCCCCCCCCCCCCCCCCAGAGAGCAAAAGTGACTTGAAAAAGCGCACTCCTAAACATACATGAATTCAGACAGAATGGCACTACTGACCTTACCTTGAATGAGAGAACCAGACTAGCCGTGTAAGAGACTTAGGTTTTGGGTTAGTTTAGTCTAGTTAGAGGTAAGCCTTGAGTAACTATACTTCTCCCAGAAGAGTGCCATTTTGGAACACCCTGCTGGATGTGCATACCAATGACTGTAAACAGCGTGATGTGGTGACGACGTCTTTGGACTTGCACCTGTCAGTCAGTCAGAGGTCACGATCGCTCGAGGATACGCGCGCCACCACGGCTGCCTGCACGTAGCGTGGACATGGCATCTAGAAAGGCCTCCCTGACGCCTCGTGGCCAATTTCAAGGCCGTCGCGTGTCGCCCAGTGTGCTGTGAAACACTGTCTTAGTATCGGAACACTTATATGGCCAACAGACGGTGATGTTGACCAATGATCTGACGGAGGACGTCATGTCCGAGGCTGTGGAGAAGAAGGTGGACCTCATTCTCAGCTACCACCCTCCAATCTTCCGTGCGCTGAAGCGACTCGCCTTCTCCAAGACGTGGAAGGTAGGCACCATACCTCACGGAAGACTGTGGCTGATGAGTGTGTTGTATGAGGTACGCACTGGATGGTCCGGCTCCTGCAGGATTTCATGCAACGACGCATCGGGTCCAACGACGTCTCAGATGGTGACTGTGGCCCCCGCTCCTGCGGCGGGTGCATGTCCACTGGCGTATGCAGGCACCGCTTCCTCAGAGGTGCCCTGTGCCCGAAGGACGTTCGTCCAGCGCACGTATACAGCACACAATGAAATGCCCCAAGTCCGTATGTACCTAAAGCGATGGCCGTGGTTTGCCTCAGCTGTGGTGTCGCACTGCGCGGGCTGATGTGTCCGCCTGGCTGCGGTGTCGTACTGGCGCGGGCTGATGTGTCCGCCTGGCTGCGGTGTCGTACTGCGCGGGCCGGCGTGTCCGCCTGGCTGTGGTGTACTGCGCGGGCCAACGTGTGCTCCGGTGCCCGGCCGCAGGAGAGGATCGCCGTCACGTGCCTCGAGAACCGGATAGCCGTGTACTCGCCTCATACCTGCTACGACGCGCTCAACGGCGGCGTCAACGACTGGCTGTGCGAGGCGTTCGGTGAGACGCGTTCACCGGGGAGGTGCCGCCGGCTTGCGCCCCCCCCCCCCCCCCGTTCGATGACGCGCGCTGACCGACGGAGGCGCCGCCTGCTGTCCCCCCCCCCTTCCCATGTCGATCCCCGCCCATCGGACGTCCTCCAGTAACGGGTGGCTGATGGCTTTCCTAACGCCCGGCTGATGGTTTCGTAGATTCGTCAACTTTGAGCGCAGCTGGGGGTGGGCTGCTCTGTCACTGGGCGGAATGTTGAAATTAGGAACGAGCGTAATCTGTCGGAAGTTGACGCCATGGCCAGCATGATATCATGAAGCGAAATCCTTCCTGTCTGCTGATTGTTCCATTAATAGCATTCTTGCAAAAAGGAATAGCTGCACCGTTCCAGGTCACTCTGTCAGATCATGTTTGTTGTTAAATCATCTTTGGCCTTCACGGGTAGCCCTTAAAGTTAAAACGGTCTTTTCGACGTGTGCGCGTAGTATGCACAGGAACATGACAAGTATGAACTACTAGTGCATCACTCCTGTCCAACCCTAGGTATGTGGTACAGACATGATTTACAGTGTCAAGTCGCAACATCTGTGTGCAATATTGGACTGAGCTCCAACTGCGTTGGAACGCTACTGACGTTCAGCGATGGCCGAGTGTGTGAGCAGTTCCGGACTCAGGGCTTTGACGTGACCCGCGACCTGAGTCGTGACCCTGGACCTGAATTGTGACCTCAACCGTGACTTGAGCCATGATCCGTGATCTGAGCCGTGACCCTTGACCTGACCCGGGTGCCGTGATCTGATCCGTGAATCGTGACCCTTGACCTGAGCCGTTGCCCGTGGGCTGAGCCGTGACCTGAGCCGTGACCCGTTACCCGTGAGCTGATCAGTGATCTGAGCCATGACCTGACCCGTGGTCCGTGACCCGAGCCGTGACCCGTGACCTGAGCCGTGCCCTGTCGTGTTGTCAGGCCGCGCCCGCGTGACGCCGCTGACGCCCAGCCTGGGTGCCGAGCCGCCGCTGCAGGTGCTGGTCCCTCTGCCGCCGGGCCCCGTCCGCCAGCTGGACTGGGTTGACGACCTACACGAGCTGTGCCGCCAGCTGCCAGGCGCCTCCGTCGAGGCCAGGTACGCTGGGCGCCGCTCCTCTGTGCTCGTCCCCTCCCCCCCCCCCCCCCCCCCACCTTCCCGCAGGGAAGAGCTGCTGTCGAACGATGGGATTGTACGTGCTGGACTCACTGAAGGCCGAAAGGTTCATATCCCGTTGAGAGCAGTGAGCTGCTTGAGGATGGTGATCTGCACAGGTGCCCTAGCACTGCATTCGAACCATTCTTTCTGTCGAAAAGTGTACTGCTGTACGGTGCACAGATTGCTGCTGTACGGTGTACAGAGCATTGCCATGGCGCCTAAAGGGGATGGGCTACCGCAAGCAAGGTGTCTATGGTTGAAGTATGTGAAACGTTGTGGCACGCTTTCGTGATTTACGTGGCATGTTTCTTTTTGACAAAAAAATCGTTACGCCGTAATAATTCTGCAAAGCGCGGGTTTGGTAATGCCCCAAAGAGGAAGTTAGTATCTTTTGGTGGTACGATCATTATTATGGCCGACCGGGGATGGCCGTGCCGCAGCATTGTGTGGCAAGTAAAACCCTCCGCATTCCTGTCTGGTGAAAGGGCGGAGGTAAAATTATCCGCTTAACTGGAGGGTACAAATCGGGTGGTGGATTTAGGGGTGCACGCAACAAGCTATTCTTAGCAGGTACTGTAACACACAGCCACACGCAAACCACTCGGTATGAAAAAACGGTGTTACGTGTTGTACTGTCACTATGGCCGAGTTTGGGTCCAATTGGGATTAAATGTGGAACGGGGATATAAAATACGCGAGAGAGCTTCAAGGCTACGAAGTAATTTGGAGTACTAGTAAGTAGTTACCAAAGTTTGCGTAAACCAAAAACTTACATATCAAAAGTAGATTTGTGGCATTTCGACACGTGTAGTAATGTCCGACTTAGATAAGGCAGTAGTAACAGCCTCATTCCTCTGAGAAAAACCAGGAGAATGGAAATAAAGGTGATATGGGTGTCTAGGGAGTGCCGCTCCCGGTGTTAGCACTATATCGCTGCTCCGGGCTGTTATCCGAGGAATGAGGCTGTTGCTACTGTCTCATCTATGTGAATAACCTTCCTCGCAAATGCACTTGACAACTTACATCATGAACGGCTTTTTGCAGTTGACGTTTCCTTTCAGGAAATTGCATGCCGAACATCACCCTACCTACTCATTGATAGCTTCAGTATCACGATTTTTGCAAAATTCCGAAGACTTCTCCGTGACCGTTGATCCAGCGGATTTCATTGACAATCTGGCAGCGCAAGAAAGCCCCACAGACAATTCGCGCTGCAGTTTAAAGGGATGGAGGAGGGGGCGCCACCTGTTGTGGACTGCGCCAGCGGCCACCCGACGCGGCCCGGGCCGGTCCGATGTATGCAGTCTCTCCTGCACTTGTCTTTCCCTGCGCGCCTGTTGCCGGACGTGACTGGCGCCGCCGCCGGCCGACAGGTACCAGGACGTGGTGGGCGACGTGGCGCACGCTGGGCAGCCCGCTGTCAGAGGGGCCGCAGCCGCGTCTCCAGCTGGTGGTGACAACGCCGCGCGCTCACCTGGCGGCCGTGTCGGCCCTGCTGGCGGCCGCCGGCGTCCAGCCCGGCTGTCGGGTCACCGCGGCGGAGAAGGTGCGCTCGGGTGCCGCCGGCGGCCGCGGCCACGGCCCTCCGTCGCTGGCGGCTGCGGCCACGGCCCTCCGTCGCTGGCGGCCGCGGCCACGGTCCTCCGGTCGCTGGCGTCCGCGACCACGGTCCTCCGTCGCTGGCGTCCGTCGGCACGGCCCTCCGTCGCTGGCGGCCGCGGCCACGGCCCTCCGTCGCTGGCGTCCGCGGCCACGGCCTCCGTCGCTGGCATCCGCGGCCACTGCCCTCCGTCGCTGGCGGCCGCGGGCCACGGCCCTGTGTCGCCGGCGGCGTTCGCCCCTCCGGCGGCGTTGCTCAGGACGGACAGCTGGGGCTCCGTGGCCAGCGAGCTGGCGGGGTATCCGACCGCGCCCGCCCACACAGCCGTGTCTGTCAGTGCGGGTCCCTGCGTGTTGCTTGCCCAGCCGGCAAGTCAGGGGGTCTGTCATTGTCGGACGGGCAGCCCGTGGCGGAGATTACAGCTGGGAACAGCAGAACGGTGTCTCGTATGGGGTCCGTGTAGCTTGGGTTGGTTAGACTGTACTGTCCCGGCCTCAGTGAACGTTGCCCGCAGTTACGATAGTGCTGCTGTTGGTATCGAATGGTAATTCTGCATTAGCTCTCTCTCCCGGACAATAAAGGCCTGCAGGTGGTCCTGGGCCCTGCGCCATGTGTGGACCCCCGCTCAAGACCCGTGCGCCTAAGGTGACCTCGGCCCCCGCGCTGTGTACCTGACCTGTAGTCCTGGCGCGGCTGGCCCCGTCCCCGCGTCAGCGGTGCGGCCCGTCGGCCACCGGGACGGCGGTCTGACTGGCACGCATGACGTGAGACCTGAGACCTGAGTCCTGCTGCGCCAGGTACCGGAGCCGGGCCGCGGCGCCGGCCGGCTGGCCGAGCTGGACACCAGCTGACGCTGACACAGGCCGTCGACGCCGTCAAGGCGCACCTGGGCCTGCAGCACGTGCGGCTGGCGGAGGCCGTCGGCAAGCCGAGCGGTGAGCTGCCGGCGCGCTGCAGAGGGGGCGGTCTGGTGCGCTGCCGAGGGAGCGAGTGGGCCGGGCGGTCTGGCGCGCTGCCGAAGGAGCTAGTGGGCCGGGGCGGTAGGCGCGCTGCCGAGGGAGCGAGTGGGCCGGGGCGGTAGGCGCGCTGCAGAGTGGGTGGTCTGGCGCGCTGCAGAGGGAGCGGCTGGGCCGGGGCGGTCTGGCGCGCTGCATAGGGAGTGGATCGGCTGGGCGGTCTGGCGCACTGCAGAGGGAGTGGATGGGCCGGGGGGTAGGCGCGCTGCAGAGAGGAGTGGATGGGCCGAGGTGGTCTGGCGCGCTGCCGAGGGAGCGAGTGGGCGAGGTGTTCTGGCGCGCTGCCGAGGGAGCGAGTGGGCCGAGGCGGTCTGGCGCGCTGCAGAGGGAGGGATGGGCCGAGGTGGTCTGGGGCGCTGCCGAGGGAGCGAGTGGGCCGAGGCGGTCTGGCGCGCTCCCGGGGGCGAGTGGGCCGAGGCGGTCTGGCGCGCTGCCGAGGGAGCGAGTGGGCGGGCCGAGGCGGTCTGGCGCACTGCAGAGGGGGCGAGTGGGCCGAGGCGGTCTGGCGCGCTGCCGAGGGAGCGAGTGGGCGAGGCGGTCGGGCGCGCTGCCGAGGGAGTGGGGCCAAGGTGGTCTGGCGCGCTGCAGAGGGGGCGCGTGGGGGGCCGGCGGTCTAGCGTGGCTGAGGGGGCGGGTGGGCCGGGCGGTCTAGCGCGCTGCCGAGGGAGCGAGTGGGCCGGGGCGGTCTAGCGCGCTGCAGAGGGGGGCAGGTGGGCCCGGGCGGTCTGGCGTGCTGCAGAGGGAGCGGGTGGGCCAGGCCTGGTCTGGCGCGCTTCAGAGGGGGCGGATGGGCCGGGGCGGTCTAGCGCGCTGCTGAGGGAGCGGGTGGGCCGGGGAGGTCTGGCGTGCTGCAGAGGGAGCGGGTGGGCCGGGCGTGGTCTGGCGCGCTTCAGAGGGAGCAGGTGGGCCGGGGGCGGTTTGGTGCGTGTGCGAGGGG